AAATACCATAACCATTTTAAGTACCATGTTAATTGGGTGTAGTCATTAATTATTCCATCTATAGCATTTTTTTTTCTAAAAAAAATTTGATCTAGATATTTTATGTTCAAAATTAATATTTTTAAATTGTTTATTACAAATCTGTGTCAACTAATATACTATCTAGTGTTGCAATGTAGATTATAGCATTTTATAGAGAGTAATAATAATAATAATAATAATAATAATAATAATAATAATTGTCAGTTATGTGAATATTTTGTTCTCCAATTTCCTCAAATGCACTGGTTCTTGTTTGTAAATAAAACATAATAATTATTATCCTTGACATCTTCAATATCTCTGGTTACTGTGGTCTGTTGTATGCTAATGATTTATCTCATCTCATTAATGGTGAATAGTGCATTGACCTTTTAGCTGCATTTATAATAACCACCCCTATCACTTGACCATTCCATTGTCTATAATTGCCTAGTAATTGACCAATGAAAGAAAATCATTAAGTTAAGTAGATGTTGAAAGTAAATGCTGACACCACTGGTGATGATTATTCTGATTATATTTAAGGTCTAATAATTAGGCCTAGTCAATATTATTAGGCCAATTAAAAAAAAAAATCATGTTTCTCATCTAGGTTTTAAAAAAGGAGGATGATACACCCCATTTCTTCATACAGAAACATGGCCAATATACATGGTGGTATAAATAGGCCTTTAGCAGTCCTAGTACATATCATTACACTTCTAACCAGGCTCTTTGCATTTTCCCACACGATTCTCTTGGTATTTTGGGAACAAAACAAAACCGGAGGCGGCCTAAGGAAAAGATAAGGGAGGTGATGGGAAACATTTTTTTTAAAAATTTGGCCTATTCTGAATTCTTTAATATGTATGCTGAGGGCGGATGAGTAATTATGATCACAAACATATTCTTGCAAATTGTATAAAATGACATTTTTGTGTCTATACAGTAGATTATCAAAGGTAATAAGGCCGCAAATAAAACTATAACAAAAATGTCAATCCCATAAAAGAAATTGTTGAGGAAGCCATTTTATCTAAACTGCAAGAAATAATTGTAATGAAACATCCCCTACATAATGAAATACATTATAAACAAATCAGGAAGACTAAGACAACTTAAAATTTGAACAAACCAACTTAAACACTCTTTTATCTCAAGTGCAGTTTGTCTCTACAAATAGTAAATTCAGTAGTTAAGTTTTAATACACAAATGCAAGGCAGTCCCTTTAGTTGAAATTATATATACTGTATGTTTTTATGGATTTTATTGGTTTTTAGCAGTATAGATACAGATCTTTTATTGTCATAAAAATACAAGGGGTCATGTCTTTTTATACAACTTTTAATATTTATACTTTCTATGTTATGATGTATGTAATACCTTTACCTTTTTATGCAGCTGAATGTTTTTGTGTACTTATATTTTAATAATAACTCAGGAAAACAAATTTTATGTATCTTATATGATCGATCAAAAATCTGAATCTGAATCTGCTTTATAATATAACGACTTGGTTTTCATGACTTTATGTCATTAAACAAAGTAATCAATTGATTTCTCCACCTAGACTTCCTAGTGTATCCTGTGCAGTAGGTCTACCCAATGACGTCGTCCCTGCACCAAGCTTATGACGTCCATTTTGCTGGATACTTCCTTTAAGCGCTGCTTAAGGCACTGGATAAATCTAATATTGCTTAATATAAAGATGTAAATGTTCATGCATTTGACGGTTTTCAGTTTGATTGTTGTATTTTTGAAGGACTGCAATGTTTCTTTTTGTGAGAAAAGATTAATTGGTAACATGTTTATCATCATAAAAAAATGCAAATTTGTCTTTCGACATTGTACATTTTACTTGGGTATGAAAAGGTTTAATAATGTAGGAAGCAACATATAACGATTACTATTATGTACCGAATTTACCAATGCATTAAATGCGTATTGCCAATTTCAGTATAATGATTGAAAATACTGCTCTGTGTATATTCATATTTAGTATCGCTCATTGGTTTCACTTATAATACTTAGACTGTTTTCATCACATATAGAACTGAAAATCATTAATAGTGATAATAATAGTAACAATAATAATAATAATCATTTATAAATTATAAAAGCATGTAATGTAAGGGCCTTCTGTACTGTTGTAGTGCATACAGAGATTCATGGAGTAAATAGACATTAATAGGAACAATTTTGATAATGAGAAAAAAAATGGTAGGACTGGTCATAACAATAATTACACGCACACCACAAATTCATATGATCTCTGTAGTTTCTGGTGCATAACACTATTAACAGTTTCTAGAACAAATTAACCATAAAACTGTGAGGGCAGTATATTATTCAATTACTTTGCTTTGTAACCATAGGAACAGCATAACATCAGGGATTTAGAGAAAAAAATGAATACATAATGGAAATATAAAATTCCTTAGATTTATTTATTAATGCTTGCTGTTTTATATACCTGGAAAATTATTTTTACTAGTTAAATTTCTGTAGGTTCTCCTTTGAGATGTCAAAGATCAAAGGTGACATGTAATTGGTTCATCATTTTTTTTCTTCTAGTGTTGTATCTGCTTATGAAATTAGATATTCTTGTTTAATACTTAATTCCAAATAAAAAAATACAGACTACAATATTTCATTTAATGCTGCAGTTTCTATTGGATATGAATGAAATTAACATGGTTTCTTTCAATCATGTTAAAATTTCACAAAATTTAGATAAGGATACAAGGCTACAAAGAGACTATTCATCCCTAGGTGTGGTGCCGGCAGAGCACCGGAGAGCCCTCTCCCCTCCCGGGGAGAAAAATACACTTTGTCAGGGAGAAGAAAAAATTATGTATTTTTTACATATTAGTAGTAGACTTTAAAATTGTTTAAATTTTGAAACCCCTAAATTGTCATATTTTCCAGGGGGCTGTGCTCTATGGATCACTTATGAGACATTTTGAGCAACATCCGACCCACTTGCGTTCTCACCGTTGAGTCAGCCCCCTGGCTCCAGCTCTGTTCATCCCACTACGGTTAAATACCATGGCTAAATATAACAATGTGAATACAGTATAACAAAATACAGTTAATTGATAGTTATAAAAGAAGGAATGGAGTTGTATCATGGTGGTTAACCTGCTTGCCTCATAATAATCTCAGATTCGTAGGCTTACTGCCTGGATTTTCTAATTAATAACTTCTTCACTCACCAAGTCGCATAAAGAGGCTGGCTTGATTTATAGCGCATCATTCCATCCTGCATAGATGTGGAGTTACTGTAATCAAAATAATTAAGAATTAGGAACAAGAAAATAATTCAAAGTATTCATGATAAATACTGAAAATTTTTTTAAATTTCTAAATGGGTTGAAAAGTAGAAGAGTGATTTACTAAAATGAGAAAGGAATATTTACTAATTGGATAATATATTGTTGGAGGAAGGAGTGGGAGGAAGAGCAAAGAAAAGAACGCCATTAAGAATGTCTGAAGAACAGGTGCTAATCTGTTGACGGTAAAGATGCTTACATCTAGGGGTGGAAGAATTGTTCAACTTGACATTAAGCATCCACTAACATAATGGTGATATATGTTTTCTGTTTTATATAAATATTCCTAACAGCGTAGTTTTTTCACTAATTATTTACTTTAATTTAATTTTTATTTTATAACAATCGTCCAACAGGAACTCTTCGTTCCCACTTACAGGTGAAAATTGCAATAAACATAAAAAATATAATCAATACAATAAAATCACAAGATATAAAAAGATATATATATATATATATATTGAACATTATATCTGCACTGTGTGACTAAGTCCTGTCACATTAAAGTGCTCTGATCTCTTGGACATCTTGAAGCAGTGAGCACCTAAATTTAATGAACCGAATCCGCTTTTATGCTCTATTGTTATTTGCTACACAGAGGCGTAAATAGGCCTATAATGTTGGCAGTGACATGTTGTTCCATTATTAGGGCTCCCTCGAGGGTAATTAAGATCAAGGTGTGGTATTAAACATGTGCCATTAATGCAGGTATTACAGGGGGTCTCCAGGTAAAATGATGCCAGATTTTATAGCTTTTGCTGAATTTTTACACAAGGGTCATTGCAGGTCAAATTAAGAAATTCACTAAAAATTATGGTTGTCTAGCAAAGACCATTCTGAGCATGAAACAAATTACTGCTTTTTTGGTTTCATCAAGCCTGTGTGTGATGTGAATGCCAATATTTTTTTCTTGGGCTTTTAGTTGCCTTTTATTATATCATCCTTCCTACGCTCATATCTTAACTTCAAAGTTTTCATTAGATTTTGCCTCAGAAACAGTGTATAGGCCTAGCCTGGGGGCAGTCGTATTTCAGTAATATGACTGCTTCCTGGTATGTAATTTTTAGCATTGCATCTTATCTATAGTACAGTAATTGGTCTCCTAAAACATATTTTGAAAAATTGGATTTTGCTGGTACTGTCCCTCTCTCCCTTCCTTGTATTACACAATTAATATAAAGAGAAATTGTATCTTTTTGTATAGATCCTTATATTGGCTATAATACATTTTTAAGGTATATAGTAAACATTTTGTAAATTTTGCAAAAGCTGTTTTTTTCTAATGCCTGTTTCAAATGAGATTTGACTAGTCTTGAAATTCTGGCTTCCTAGCCCAACACTTCTAATTTATAATCAATAAATAATCAAGTTTTACATTTGAAACAATTAGTATTGTTGTTTGTATAACTGTATTCTTTTAAAATGATTTATGCAATGTTTCTAATGTCTTTCTTTGAATTATAATTATTAATGTGTTTTTTCTAGTTCATCTTTAAAAGGTCATTGATCATGAGTAAACATAAGAACTTGGTTAATTGAGTATAATTGTTCCGGGATTGTGAGCTCTCTCCGATTACCATAAGAAAACAAAACTCGACCTACGATCAATAATTCATCTCTCGTATTTTTTGCATAATTTCTTCTAGGTCCGACTCTTACCAAAGACCTGAGACGGTATCTTAACATAAGGTTTCAAAAAGGATCTGTGGACCACGAACTCCAGCAGACTATACGAGACAATTTGTATATGCGGACAGTGCCATGTAAGTTAATATTACTTTTCTGGTCATCATTTTGTACACATTAATAATTAGATAATTTTTATTGTCTCATCTGAATTTAAATTTGTATAAATTACAAATGTTTTAATAATACTTATCATTATATTAATTAATGATAAAGTATGTCCTGGCTTTACCTTGATAGTAATAACATGACAGTGCACCTTCCAATTCGAGACCACTTTTTCAAAGAACCAAATAATAATCTTCAATCTATTAATAATAATAATGCTAATCCTCTATGTGGAGACCAAATTCAGAGACCACCCCAAATTTCAGGTCCCAATGGTGGTCTTAAATTGGAGGGTGAAGTTTATTTTACATTGTTTATATTTATATTGAAAAGTTTAATTATTAGAAAAGTAAATTTATATAATTATGCATTATATAATATTTATAATATTCATATCTATAAAAACAAAACATCTACATGAAAAAAAGCAAATGATACATGATATACACAATTGATATAGCCTTCTACATAGCACCTGTAATTGGCCTGCATTTAACATCTAATGCATGTTAAAAATCTAAACATCCTCAAACTGCCATCCTACTATTGGTTGTTATATAGCACATAGATATCACATACACCCATGACACTCAACTTGAATATAATGTTCATTCATATGATAAAAGAAAATAAAACTGTTATACTGCCCTCTATATATAATATGCAAATAATCATAATTATGAAATATTCATATAGTGTCATGACCTCACCTTTCGATTGCAAGCAAGCTGTTGACAAAGGAAATAGAACTCTTTGAATAATTCTTCCTTGTATCGTGATCAGGAAAAATTGAAATGAAAATTATAAAAGTACAGAAATTTACAGATGGGTTTTTCAGATAATATCTGTCTATTGCATTTTCTTATATTTCATCAAGTAGTGTTGTGATATTAAATTAAATTAGACAAATATATACGGCTTTTGCTACCGATTAGTACAAAATTACATCAGATTGTAATGGTGAAGCTTGGTTACAACTATCTTCAGTCAGTTAACTGAAAGATGGAATTATCTTTGGTTAGGTTAGCCATGATTTGGTTATGGTGCCCAGCATATAATTTAAAAGGTTTGGATTCTTTCCAATATAACAACAATTTTTCTTATGGTTGAATCAAGATTTTTACAATATGATTTGCACCTTTTCTTTTCTATTAATAACAATTAATATTAGTCATTTAAATCTAATGTTTTGATGATATGCCAATAAAATTAAAAATAATTTCTATATTTTACTCTGTTAGAATTATTTATCATTTATCTTTGTCTTTATGACTTCACTCCATCTAGGTTTATTTCTCATTCTCTTCCAACTGCGAGTGCTTCGCCAAGTCTGACATAATAAATTTGTCTGTTCTTTTATAAACCATGTCTCGGTGTACTATATGAGGCTTCAATACCCTATTCACACAAGACAAAACATTCAAAACATACGTGGGATGTGTGCTAGGGGAAATTTGACATTGCTTTCATGTATAGCCTGCTTTCCATCGTAGAATCGCTACAGTGTTTTTACTGCAATCCTTGCACTGGTTCAAGTGACCAATTAGCGCCGCCAAAGAAATTGGCGATAGCGGGTAGCGATTTTCATGGAAACCAGACTTAAATGGCTATCCATTTCGGCTTAGCACGCGCCTGGTGTGATATCTATAAAAAAATCATAGACTTTAGCATGTATCATTCCAAGATATTTAGCATAAATTTGTGCATGCTGACAGCGTAGGTTATTTTTATCGTGGCGTCGTACATATGTTCGCTGTCAGGGTACCAATTGTACCAAATTTTATAGGTTTAAATTCACTTGTGTGAAAATGAGGCACAGTGATTTTGGTAGATATATTTCAGGAAATCGTTGTTACATTTTGCATTACGTCTTGTGTAACCTTTTATCTTGTGTAAAGAGAGCATTAGATATTGGAGTTGCTTTAGTTGAGAAAAGAAAATTAACCTCATATGAACCCAAGGCCCTGGAAAATGAATTTAACCATCTTATAGCTTTCCCAATTTATAGCTATAGTTTTTTTCTTCTTCTTTTTTTTAATAAAATTATCTTTTATTATCACGGGTGCTTATGGCTGATTTGATTTAAAATACTGGTACTTTATGTATACTGTAAGTAGAATGAATTTCATAAAGAAAAGAAACACTTAATTTTAATGATGAATAATAAAATAGAATATTTTAGTTCAGCAAAAATTTAATTTTCTAAATTTTAAGAATGCAATAATCTTTGTTTTATGTATTGTTTTCCAAATAAGAATTTATGCTGATTTTGAAAATGTTAATCCATTTTTTTTTTCTCAAGGCCTTATAAATTAAAATGAAATTGAATGAGTTTCATAGTTTATTAATTAATTTCACCAATTTCCTTTTGTAATTATCTGTTTAGGGAAAAAGTAAAACAATTAATGTTCTTTAAATTTGCTGACATTTTGGGATCTGTTGCTAACTGTGAAGTAAAAAACACAGTTGGATAATAATTATTATTATTATTATTTTAATTATTATTATTATTATTATTATTATTATTATTATTATTATTATTATTATTATTTTTATTATTATTATTATTATTATTGTTATTATTATTATTCATTATTATTATTATTATTATTATTATTATTTAAGTCAAACAATATTATAACTATTTCATTGTGGACATTATTATTATATATTAATATTAATTATTATAGTTTAATATTGTATAGTTAGATTGGATCAATAGGCATAAATTCTGATTATGCTTGGTCTTACCTAAACAAAATTTTTTATTATAAGATAATTCTTTGATACTGCAACCAATTACTGTAATTAATGATAACTTAGTATATTATTATATTGTAACAAAATACAGTAATTCTCTAAAGCATACGAATGGTGGCCTTATGACCCGTAATCAAAGTACAACCAATATGCCAATGTAGTGTAATGGAGTTTTTTCTAAGATTTTTCAGATAATTTCAATAATAATTAGTCAATGTTTATTCCAATCATTTATTTAAATGTATTAATTTATTTCAGAATAGAAGCATTTTTTTAAATTTTTGGCTCTAATTTACTCATTGGCTAATTTGTGAATGGATATTGCATGCTTATTGCTTCACAATTTGGTGATAATTTTGACAATTAAATACTTTATTTATCTATGGTTTTAGCTTACTGTAAACTGTGCATTTCAATGCTAGTAGTACGAACACCGGTACAATTTCCTTTTGTCTTAGTCAAAATTAATTCGAACACAGCTTTAGTCTGTAAGTGCTGCTTGTCTGTAATAATTATTACCAAAAGATTATCATACATAATATTATTTAAAACATGGTTGTTCACATTTATCAATATTTTCGCAAGTGTACAAACAGTACTCTGTCGGTCCCCCATCCCCTCTGAAAGTGTACATATTTAAAAATTTGATTTTGCAAAAAGCATTCTCCATTTTTTTAAAGTCAACTAAAGTACTGTACTTGGTTGCATAAAAATGTCTATTATAGCCATGATTGCATTATAATTGGTCATAAAAATCTATTATGTTTTATATTGCATGTTATTTTGAATTAGTATTTTCATGATGTAAAAATGTACAAATATGTATACTCTTTCCCCCTAGCATACCGATTTTGCACTTGTGAAAATGTTATAAATTGTGAACAACACCTAACATATCTTACAAATTTTTTTCCCCTACAATTGTCAGATGTAACTTTTCGTAATTTCGGACGTAATTAATAAAAAAACAGACAAATATTCTACAGTAGAACGTCATATTTATTGGCTGTTTTTCAAATACATAAACAACTGTACAGACTTATTTCAAAGGTTTTTATTTTGAAAGGTTCATAAATTAACTTTGACAAAAAAAGGGGCAATGTAAGAAAAACATTGCATTTATATTTGAAATATTTTTTTGTCATCAGAAGTTAGCAAAGGAGACAAATTACAAAACCTTACAGTACTGATCTAAGAGTCATTAAGAAAGAGTAGTTATTTTGAGTTATTATGTACAGTTTGATTCACATCACAAGCAATCCTTTGCCTTCTAAATCTATCAGGGGACAGTTACATACTCAGTTTCCCCTTGTCATCTTAATGGTCCGTCCATATTAAGCTTTCAGCGACAAATATCTGATTTTTCCATATATGGGCTTGACGATATTATACCACACCCATTTATGGAAAAATCACACATGTTGTCGTATAAAAATTGATAGTGTGAAGAGAACAAAACATGTTGATTGCCATTGGTAATATCATGGAGAAGGGAATAATTTTCCTACTTTTCATAAACCAGGTTTATAGGAATGTAATACAACAATTTCCCCCGCACTTTCAGTTAGGTGCTTTATGATATGCCTCAAATAAAATGCTAGCATTTATTTTATTATAAGATAAAATACAAAAAGCTTATATTGGTAGCAGTTTTGATTCCCATTCAATCCCCTCCCCCCCCCCCTTCCACCCTGTTACACCAGAAACACAATAATGGGAAGCTTCGATTGCAAGATCTCTGACGTAATTGCTTAAATTAGAATTATCTGCTTAATGCGAAGACTTTGCGTTTACATTGTCCTTGGAATTCTAGGACATGATTTGAACCGAATCTGTGTCGTTCGCAGGACGGTCATGGATGATTGAATCCATACTACTATAGGGGCATGTTGTCAGCGAGATAAAAAGCTGTAGAAGGTAGTCAACATATTTATAACCAAAGTCGTAAATTAAAATTACATTTTCAAAATAGAAATTCACATTATTAATAAATAATATAAATAGGATTTTTTAAGCACTCTTTTTATCGACTAGTCACCTTAATGCTCAAGGCATTGGTCCCAGATGGATTAAATATTTTTGTACTGAAATATTTTAGGACCGAAAAATCTTAACCATATGATGAGAATAAACTATCCCAGAGGATAGTATAATCTATTGCTCAGGGGTACTCATTAAACAATGAATATGTTTTTTTCAGTGCATAAAAATAAGATAATCTTCCTAGGTTGTAAAAGACATTGTTGATATTTAAGTAAATACACTACATACAATTTGAACAAAGTTGAATCTCATTTGGACGCAGTTTAGTTTCATTGTTCGTCAGCGGAATCTATTTTAAAATTATCTAGTTTGTCTAATGTAGAGTACTGGTGTATATTCAGCACCAGGAAACTAATTAAATATTACTTCATCATTTATTCATTTACTTCTCTATCATTAAATACAAACTACTTCCTCAACATTTAAAAATACATGGCTTATGTTGTTTTTGGTCAGTTTGCTTTTAGTAGAATATACAAAATATTTAAATAATACTAAAGACGTTTTTGTTTGTTCCCATACAAAAGCACAAATTCATGAAATTATAATAAAAAATTATTATATTATCAAATCCCATTAGAGTTTTAATGTACAATACTCTGTAGTAGATCTTTCACTCAGGTAAAGAAAATAACTTGGGTACATCATAAAGGATTATCCATCATTAAAACTTCCATTCGTTTAATTGTTTACATCTAATAATCTTAATGTTATTTCCTTTTTTTCCTTTACATTATTATAATTTTATAATAAACTTTAATTTTTACAGATTATTGAAATTAAATGTTCACTTAATCCAACCTGAATTATTTGAATTGCGTGTTAAATACATGATAGCTTGCTATCCAACTTATTCACTAAAACAAAGAAAAAAAGATTCTGAAATATATGTAGGTTAAACCCTTGAGAACAATGGCCTCTTAATATTTTGACGTTAATCAATATGTTCAGTGTATATATTATGCAAATAATTAAACATAACTGTATTCACATGTACAGTACATGATTATTGCTTTGTTGACCCTCAGGTACGACACGAGCTCCAAGAGACGAGGAGGTTGATGGAATTGACTACAAGTTCTTATCCGTTGAGCAGTTTATCGCACTGGAGAAGACGGGTCACCTGCTTGAGAGTGGGATATTTGACGGTAAGTGGAACGGCCAAATACTAACAAAAACGTAAAGGATATAGCTCACGATTTTTTTTGGGACGATTTTTTTACCCTGCCATTTCGGATTGTTTTGTGTTCTATTGGTATCACAACAATACTCTGCAAGTTGACGAACGCCACTTGAAAACTATTTAAAGCTTAAATAACGTTAAATCAGACGATATTAAAAAGAAAACTATTCTCTCAATACCAGCTCAAGGTAAAAAAAATTAATGGTTTTAATATCTCAAGAACCTTAAGTCCTGTATAGACTATCACATTTTATTTGACAAAAAAATGTGACATGCCTAAATATGGTCATGATGACATCACATCCTGACCATATATAGGCACATCATGACTATATATGGACATAAAAATGTTTTTTGTCAAATGAAATTTGATAGTCTGAACAGGGCTTTATGATGCGTTCATTAAAACTTGTGAAAACTGATTTCACAACTTGTAACATGCGAGAACACGAGAAGAGTGCATTCATTTGATGAATGCTAAAATGGCATTTTTCCCCCCTATTTGGGATTTTAAGAAGCGCCCTCACACGGATGTGAGCCTAGGCCTAGCCTATGTAAAAAAAGCTTGAATAAGGACTCTATAAAGTACATTCAGAACATTATACAAGTCATAAGGTTGCAAATAAAACATACAAAAAACATTTTTTTTTTTTTTATCTGAAATAATATTACTTAAACTAATTGCAATAAATACATCTGCTCGTTTGTGTTACATCCACCATTTCCACACTACTTGTGCAAATTAAGGAAGAAAATTCTACTCAAATTTCTTCTTGTGTTTACAAGTTCACTGACCAGATGAAAGCGTTTCACATGTTGTGAACTGGGAAAAACCGACTTCATAAGTTCTAATGAACGCAGCATTAAACTTGTAGTCAATAGGAATTTCTTTCATTATAGAACGTTGACATTATAAAGCAGCTACTGGTACTTTGTAGATCCTTTCCTCCAATTCCAGGGTCCTAGGTTCAAATCCTGAAAGAAATATTTTTCTTCACATTTATAAGTAGCTTCACTCCTTAAGCCCATGGGACTTAGCTTATAAAGACTACTGGTACTTGTGGGAAACAGTAGCTTGCCTACTAAATATCCCAGTTTAATGGGTTTCTGGGTACAGTGGATCATTGCATCAACATTGGACAGAATTATGTAGTACAGTATGTGGGAATGTGCCCAAAAGTAGGTTTATAATAATAATATTATTCATTTTGTTTTCCAAGACACAGTGTATACATTTGTCAGAAAAGCGGATAGGCCTATGAGCCCAAACGGATTGGCACTCTCTCCTTCAAAGGATTGGATCGCTTAACAATTTTGTGTTTATATTCTGATTTGTATTTTTATTCTTTGAAATTGTTTGCTGATGAAAGGTATTATGGTTTTTATTTTTTTTTTGAGTAGGGTTGTAGCTGAATTTAAGATGCTGATTTTTTGATCCAGGTGTCCTGGTTTTGAGTCCTGTTTAATTCTGAAACGTTTTCCCATCACTGAAACCAACTCCACTGACTGAGTTCATAGAGCAACGCTCCAACTATTAAATTGCTTTGTACTTGCTGTTGGATACGAAAGGTTACATAAAATAAATTAAGAAATAATTAAAGAATGATGTATATACAAAGTAAATATCTTAGTTTACACAACATAACTATTGGAAGCAGAACTAGCTATCAAATATAACTTTCAATTTGCATTATAAGTAGCTTGCCGCTGTTATGCATCAATGGACTGGATTTTTTTTGTTTATTTCTTCACATACAACAACATATTAATATTAAAATGATTCCATTATTTTAAGCGATTCCACAAAAAAACAATTAATTTATACTATCTTAAAATATACACTGAAATAAATATAATTATTTTAGTTATTTTTGATCATTGTTAAATTTTGTTTTAAAATTACTTTCCTCTTCTTTATCATGGATCTAGAGAGAGCATAAAAGCGCATCTTCTTCGGTTTGGACTAATAAAATTCAAATATCTTTTCATCAAAATAGAATAGAAATTGCAGCCGGACTTCTAGGCCCTGTTTTTAAAAACTATATCCATCACTAGTCTGTTGGATAAAGCGAAATGCTCCTTTAGACTCATTCTGATGAAAGTATAGATTTATGGATTCTAACATGGATATGAGTTTGAACTAATAGTAGATGTATATTTCCTTCACGACGGACGGTCTATATCATAGCTGTAATGGCTACCGCAGAGACTGATAAAATCCTATTTTGTATACAATTGTTAGCAAATAAGCAGTATATGGATTTTCCAGATGGCTGTCCTATATATCTGTAAAAGAGTTCCTCGCTAAATCATTTTATGATGGCGTTGTTTACGGACCAAGATCTCTTAACTGTGTTTGACACAGTTATACTATGATATCAATGGTCTCAACATGTGAACAGGAGGAGAAACGATATATGTAATGTTAATTGTTTTTCAGAAATTCTAACCAACTATTGCCCGCTAATTAAGGGATGATAGACTAGCTATTAACGTTCAAGTCATTTGCTTTCATCAAACTGCTTTCAAAATTATATTATAGTAAATTAGATATCTTCAATTTACGCAAATTCTGATATCAAACAGGGTAACATCCTTGATCACTCTACTATTTTCGCCTTTTATTATCGCAATATAGCTTGCTTCAAAGATTACTTACATAAAAATTAACATTAATTATTTATAATTAACATTAACTCATTAGAATTCTTGCATCAAACATATGATCCGCAACATCTTCTCTGGCATCATATGGCATTGTTTTTTTTCCCCAATTTTCTTTTCTTAAAAAAAAAAAAAAAAAAACGATCAAAAATCAAAACCAGGAATATTGATTGTTCTCAGTCTGTTGAAGGCTTTGGATTCTCCGGGGGCAGGGAAAAACCTGCATCGGATGTCGTTGGAGGGCTGGTTGCTGATTGGTTGGCTTCAGTTGCCCGCTGTCCATTGATGGGCATTTGCATACCTGTACGGATAAGCATGGCCTGTGATAGCCACATCATATTAGTCTGCATTGATAACAACAGCTGCCTGTCCATCTCCAGTCGTTGCTTTTCTAAATCAAGTCGTTCTCGTTCTACTCTTACGAGGTCCTGTACTGCCCGCTCTAATGCTCGATGCTTCTTCTTCAATAAGCCTGTGCCGTTACCGGTAGGTGCAAATCTTGCCGTACCTAACTGACTTCTCTGCGATAGGAGACTAATCCCGTCATATTCTCCGGATGGTGGTGTCCGTTGAATGTGGTTGCCGAGCATGCTAAAACTTGAAAACAGAAAGATTATGCCGTTTAAAATGTATTTTTGTTAATTGACAGTGGCTTTTCTTTGTATCAAAATGTTTACCAGACTATTTCCAAACAGGATGTGTATAGAAAGTCTCTTTGTGGGACATTGATTCTGTAAGCAGCCTATAAATAATAGAGTTATCATTAGGCACATTCTAAGAAGAGGAAGTTATTAAATTTACAGATGATACAAAATATTTACTATCATTACATTTAAATTAAGAAGTAAATTAATGTGCTATATAATCGGTATTTTTAATTAAAGGCAATCATGATGGAAAATGTATAGCTGCTGATTTTTCTAATAAAAAATAAACATTCGTAGTTGAAATATTAAGTTATTTTAATAACTAAAGTATCTAGAAATGATACGATGCTTCATTTATAATTTTCTAGTCATGTGACCATGGTCATGTGATAAGATTTCCAGAGGCATCTAATTAGCATATATGCTAAGTGGTAACACTTGAACACTCATTCGACTAAACCTTAATATCTTGTGTGTCGACATGGACGATTATACTGATGGTCCGTTGTAATGATGATTATGATAATATTGTAATAATTCTGTTTGTTGTTAATCATGGCTGGAGGGGTTTCATAGACAATGGTTAACTTCCATACCTCAGCTGCTAAAGCTTTTTTGCATAACACTGTTTTTTTATTAACTTTAATGTTCTTTCCTGTTCATACTCTATTTGTTAAATGAGTATCTTGGTTAAATATACAGAATGTTTTATGGTTTCTCAAGCATCATTTTCAGTGTAACGTCTTGTTTGTGTTAAGCACTTAGTTTTGTATAATTGTTTTTTTGCCTTATACACTATGTAAATGTAACTTTGTTACAAATGCATGCAAAAGTACAATGTACCTGTCCATACAAAATAATTGTTTTATATATCAATTCTATGCTATAGAATTTCTGAAAAAATGAATTAATATTGATCAAATGTAACATATTTATATAATCTTTAGAAGTCCCTTTTTGTCGTAGTTCAATTTAGATAATCATTAGAATAAAACAGCTCTTTTCACAAAATCAAATGAGATGCTCTTTATATGGATCTCAGTGCAATGGTAGGTTTCTTCTGTAGTTGTGTTATAGAAAATGAGAATGTGGTATGTAACGTCGTGTTTTAGAATTTTCTTTCTCCATATTTAAAAGTATAGATTTATTATACGACACTAAACATCATAGAGACATCTTTAAATAGGGACAGTTTTGCCGAGCCACAGGTTTTCAATAATAAGGAGACAATATTACTCTCTCTCTCTTTTAAATATTGCTTTTCTTACCTTTTTCGGGGGTATGGGGACTTCCGACTCCATTTTCTAGGCCTAGGCATTGGGTCAGATCCACTGTCTTCTTGAGGGGCTCCATTTGCTTCGACAGGTTCTTCTCCATCACCTGCGATATTTCTTGGGACCTCAATTCCAGTACCATAGAAGTCTGTTAATTCAGTGTCACTATAATATTATAATAATAAAAAATACAGAAAGGTTGTAAACAAATGTTGTGCAGTTAAGGAAAATTTGTAATACTTGCGGTTCTACAGTGTATAAATAGCAATTTATATGAGCAAATTCAAACATTCTAATCAGCAAATCAAATGAAAATATAGTTTATTTTCCAAAATTATTTTTAAATCATATCAATAAATCACTACTACTGATTTCTAAAGATTAAACTGTTATTGCACTAACAAGATAATAAAAGATGATTTGAGATAAAAAAAAAAAAAAAAAAAAAAAAAGCTGACGAAAAATATAGATTGAGAAGCTTGCTGTTGGTGTGAAAATATGGGAAACCATGATACTTCAATTTAAAGAATTTGTCAATGAGACATCAAAACAATTAAGTTATTTATAATTTACAGAATTTTTTCCTAAAAAAATATTTAACTTGATACCCTAGCCAGTAACAATAAGAAGAGTACCATTTCTGCATCAGTTGATCAGCAAGTAATACATTATTTTTTGTTTTAATTATCAATTGAAATCAAATAATTTATTTTAAAATATGCAATGTAAATAACTGTAAATTAATACATATTTTAATGACAAATACGAAAGATGTTTATAGTCCATCGATCATTTTTGTCATTAATTTTGTAATAAAATAATAATGTAAACAATTGAAAATATATTTCATATAAGTTTATTAGCTTACCAGAGACAGAATATTTTAAATATAGTCTGGATGGAATAACACCTGACACAAGTATTAATATAAATGTTTACAAATGCTGATTTAAGAGAGGATCAATATTGACAAAATTTTTTTAGCACTCTGCGCTAAAAATATCGTACCAGGTTTGATCGTATACTTCTTGTTTGTGGTTTAAAAGGAAAAAAAAAGTTTGGATCTCAGAAATTGAATTTGGTTTACGTGAGTTGTTTTTCCTCTTCATTATTACATTGTCTGAGGTTTGCCTGGCTATGATCACTGTCCAAATCCCTAAAAATGTTATCAATTTTTCTACCTGGCTCAAAATAATTATTTCCTTTTGAGACGAAGGTAACCGGCTCACGTTTCCAGATTGTACTCGTTATGTGATTAAGTTCTACTGTGAGGAGGCATAGCAAGAAATACACTTCTTCTAATCAAATTTGCTACCATTGTGACAAAGGATATGAGTAATATTTAGAAATGAAATTGATTTCCATAATAAATAGCTGATACGAACGCCATGTCTTTTGGTAGATTTTTATTTTTATGCTAGGAACTTTACAGATGGTAGATTAATTGTTATACAACAGACGATAAGGTTGTGCCGAACACAGGGAAACATTTGTATCCGGATAACAAAGGAAACATTGTGATCAGATACCACTTGAGTTGTGTTTTGCTAACTGAATTAAACGCATCAAAGATTCGGTTGTTCTTCTGAAAGATTTGATTACTTAGCATTTAAGATATGAACAACATTAATTTCCTAAAGATATAAAATGTCTAAGTTTAGCCAATAATCTTGAAAATAAAATTTAGTAGTTGATTTCTTTACTCTCTATAAGTAAATTGTACAATAGCTTTTAACTGAAAATAAGAACAAGAAAAATATTCATCATCCAATAACAGATGATTAATTAAGGTGTGTGGTATGGCAAAATGGGGAAGTTGTAGGTTAAATAGGAATTCAATTATTGGTATTTTCAGATACCTGAGTATGTAATCTTTAAAGTGAGGGGTCATTCATTGAAATTGGACATTTCACACCTACTTATTGGGGTGTGAATGTACTGTATATCACTCTTTGTAGTGTTAAGATAAACATGATTTTGAGTAATCACCTACTATTCTCTAAAAAATGAACATATATTTTCACTGTAAAAATCATTTATTTTAACTTTACTGTAGATTCTAACATTATTTGTACATACATTTGTTTAATGGAATTAAATACCAAAATAAATAAATGCATGTTAACCATTTTCAGAACGAAGACTTTGGGACTTGATTAATTGGATAGCCTATTGAACACTGTTGATTTGCAGTGATAAAGTAAATTTTGATTTTTAGGCCATTTTTGAGCTCTTTTGTTTTATAGCTCAATTATGCAAAAGTGGCCTGTGTGACAACATTTTTTTGCCATGATGTGCCTCAATTATTACTGCTATTGTATTATTTACACAGATCCTTATTTTAATAAATTGAAATATCATTTTAGTAAAAAGTCCAAATCAACGAAAATTAATTGTTTTGATCTGTTGTCATTTGGTATGGGTACCTTGTCCGATCCTCTTAAGTAGAGCACCGGTAAATTTTTACAGGGTTTTTCAAGATTTTTCAATTAAAGTTAGGGGTACTTTATTTAATTTGTGAACATACGCCTTTGGAACGGCGGCACACACAAGTGGGATACATCGTCAATAGCTTTGATAGCATGGTGATATCTTAGTGGTCGTTCCTGTTTTTCATCATTTTCACTACTATGTACACTTTTTCTCCTCATCCACCCCATCCCAAAAAAGTAAATTATAAAATAATGAATAAATGAATGAATGAATGTATTTGGAAAATTTCAAATCACATAAAAAACAATGAACAAGATAATTAAAAAATATACACAGTGATAGTAAAATTCCAGGGATAATTCAAGAAAGCCAAATACTTATTTCCATTGAGGTCCCTACCTGAAAAACAAATGACAGAAACATACAAATTGAGTTAATAAAAGATAAATGATAACTGTCATTGCCAGATCATATTTGTTTTCATTCTAAGAAAAGTGTACACTGATGACCTCTACTATATGTCATGAAAAATGATGAGAAGAATAGACCCAAAGAGGCAAAACCATTTAAATGGGTTTTTTGTAATGAAAATTGGAAATTAAACAGACATTGATTGAATGAGAGCAACAGCTTTTTATGTTTATTCTTTATACAGTTCAATTTGTTGTCAGAAGAAATAAAATAAAATTATATTATATATGCAAGCAAGGATCATGAATTACTCAATCCAAAATTAACAACTTCCCCATATTGAATATTGCTCATTTAAAATATATTGATAGTGACATTAATAATTTATTTTCGTAAATAAAACTGAAAAACTATCGGTATAGAAAACGGAAAAATAACTCAAATTAAAAAAAATAAAAATACAATTAATTAATTGACTACTGTATATGAATTTTGTTTCTTCAACAATGATTTTGACAATATGGAGTACTACAGTGTTATGTGATACCATTTGATACTACTCCGTTGCTGTTATTGCAAAACGCGTTCAACCGGACACCATTTTCGCCACTGACAAACCATTGATCCCAATTTCTAACGTAATTATTAAGATGTTGTATCTTAGTTTTTCTTTTCAAATTTTAATTGATGATTAAATGTGTATTCGATAACTAATATAATACGAGCTTTTGTGTTTTTAGTACATTTGGATGGTAAAATATTAGATTTTAAAATGCCTATTTCAGAAAGCCTATGAAGTCATTCAGGCTAAATGAACGGTAACCAACGTCTGGTTGGTGACAGAGGGCGCCACCTGGCATTGTGACGACATGACTGTGGTACTCTATATTGGCAGACTATTCCCTACTTTTATTAAATGTGTTTTTTAATGTGCACATGGGCTCATTCGAAAGAATTGTGCCCTATTAAATCTGGACTAAGGTTATTTAGATATATCTATGGTTCAGTTTGCACACAGTGGCTACGACTACTTCAGCCGACTGATCTAGTCTGCTTTCTTTAATAACTGGCATACTCTTTAAGATTTTTGTTTAACTGTGATAGTCAAAACAATAATACAGTTACTCTCCAGAGTGTTACTTCTTTATTAATAGATTACTGTCAGTGTTAGTCTCGATAGGCAATATTTGGTCAGGCTTAGATAAGATATATTTGTAATATACGATTAAAAAGTTTGTATCTATTTTTGATCATTGTTTTACTGCATTAGAAAAATATTGGGTCAGCTGCAATAACGTAAACATCATCATAATTTCCCATCATCATCATTATTATCATTGTCATTATTATTAATATCATATCACCATCGTAATTCTCTGCCATTCTTTATCATCACCATCATAATCCTCTATCTTCACCGTCATCGCTGCCGTCATCATGTTATTAGTATCGTCATTAGTATCCTCACGTCATTATTATCATCGTGATTATCTTTCATCGTGGTCGTTGTCACAGCCTCCATTGTTGTCATATCATTATCATCAATGATCATCTTCATTATATCATCATTGTCGTCATACTTCATCCTTCATCATCATCTTGTAATCATTATTTTCATCATCATTATCATCATCATCATTGTCATCATCCTTCATGGTCAGTAAGACATACAGTAGGCTCCTCAGAATAATGCTCAATTATGTTAAGTTTTTAAAGAGTAGGATTAAGTAAATAAAATTATTAAAGTAGACATTTGCATTATGCTGGGTAATGCTACCATCTTGAAATATATTATAAACAATGAATGGAGCAAAGGAAAATGGTAGAAAGAAAACAACGATCATAATGTACAACCAAAAACACATTAATATTATCAATTATTATTTTTATTTCATTTTATTAAATAATCATCATTTTTATAATCATTACCATCATCATCAATATGTGAATTTATGTTTTCAATCTACCAGTTGCCACAACATGACATCTTCGTCAATGTCACATTCATCGTCATTATTGTCATCATTACCTCAGTCCTTATCATGCTCACTCTGTCATTGTCACTCTCATGCTCATTACCATTATCATCTATTGTCATTACTCATCATAATTTTTTTTTCGATTGAGTCAGCCTGATTACCATTAACATAACGATCAATATAAACAGAATTATAAATTTTCTGCCACTAATTCACAGTGAGTACTGTAGAGATACTAGTGGTGGAAATAATTTGGCATTATAAACATAATATAATATTAGCAATTTTTGGTGCCATTTTGATATAATTCTTATAGATAATGATCCTGATTCTGATGATGATAACCATGATGATACACTTAACTGTATCATATTCATTGTTCATATCAACACAGCTATTGTTGTAATCATCAATATAATCATTTTTATCGTCATTTTTACCATTCATCATCATCAAGATCTTAAATTTTATCATAATCATCATCATTGTCTTTATCATCGTCATATCATATCATCCTCAAGTAGTTTGAATGAACAAACAAGACAGTATTATATTAATAATCACAATAGATCATTAAAATTGATCAACGTCATCCTCATCTTCAGCATCATACCATTAACATTACGATCATCAACATCATCTGATTTAGATTAAAAATCCTCAACATTGAATAAAATGTTATGGTTTTAAATTTTGATCTGACCTAGGCTTGTATAAATTGTAATCCTTTAATTTTATATTGTATTTTTAACGTTTAATATTAAATATAGTTACAGAATTTGTATATAATCTGGGTCCTTACAGTTAAGAAGACTGACAAATTTTTCTTGTAAGTTTAAATGAATCATCTTGAATAGCATTTAGTACTAGATGATTTTTGTTATGATCAATTAATAATTTCATATTATTGTACCTGATAATAAACTAAATATTCAAGTTGAAAAATGAAATTCCGCAATATATTCATTATTTATTTATAGATTAAAACGTTTTTGAAATATTATGTTTATTTTAATTAATGTATGTTCAGTAAAAAAAACAATATAAAATTTATGTTTATGGCTGTGCAAAGTGTTTAGTAGAAAAGAAAATAAAAAAATTGCTAGTCTTTTGTATTGCTTACTCACTGTATAGTGCAGTTACTCTATTGTGATAATGGTTTAGAGTAGCTAGCCATTGTTTAGTTGGCATTAAACACAATGTTTAAAGATGACTTCACTGTTGTTATGATCTTGTTAACATTGAAAAAGAGATATTGTCTGCGTTCCATAATAAATGATTAGCTGACACAATTTGTAGAATAGAAATATTATCGATACTAAACTGGCTAGAGTGATACCAGCCATCTTGTTTTTAGTTTCATGATGGTTTTTATTTCATTGCGCTATCAATGTTGATAATATTTTGCAGTGCAGTAATTTTTTTTCACATGGAATCGTTATTATAATGAGGATGTTAAATATATCTAGAGACTTAAGCTAACAGTTTGTTCGAGTGACTGCTAAAAATCAATAATTACAACAGCTACCATGCACACGGATCCAACTGTAGTCCTGTGGGAATTCATTCGCGGAATTTAATTTCGTGTCAACAGGAGAAAAATTCACTCTAACGATTACAATATTAACAAATGCTGAAATGAAATTGTAGGAGAATTTGCTGGTTGTAAATTTTGCTCTCTACTGTAGGTTTCTTGCGTTTGTGGAGGACAATAGATTGGCTGTTCTACGTTAATGTACCTTGTTAGGAATTGATTCTCTAATTAATTCATCGGAACAATATATGAATCAATTAGAATTAGTGAGGCAAAAGCCTATCTCTTTTAGAATTTATCATTTTGGAAAATAATTTTTGCTTAAATATTTCCTTGAGCTGTAGTAATATGACATGGTATGTAATCTGTATATGAAGTAGGATAAACATCATTACCTATTACCTATTATTTTTTAAATAACAGACTGCATGAACCAAATACTATCATATATAATTACATAGTACAGCACTTGGAGTTTGAACCATACATACCCTAAATTCTGTTGTTCATATACTTCATTTTCACAACCATTTGGTGTAACGATATCATTTTGTTCGTCCTCCTGCATGTCTCCGTAATCATCCTCCATCTCTATGCTGCCATCCCTCATCTCCCAGTCCGTCGGTCCTTGTGTCATAATTCCGTGCACTGTATCCCAAAACGGCCATGATGGTGCTGGATCACCATCTAGCAGATTCTTCCTTATCCGGAAGTATATTGCCTTTATGTTATCAATCCTTGTCTTACAGTTTTCTGGCCGTCGGTTGTAACCGAGCTGTGTCATCTGCTCGGCGATTTTATTCCATACAAAAAAATGTCTGCGCTTTGTTTTGAAAAGGTTCTGGATACCCTCGCTTCCCCAGATTTTGATCAACGCGAGAGATTCCTCGTAGCCGAAGTTCTTACAGCGCACAATACCTGTCCATGGTTTCGCAGTTTCAAGAGTTTCTGGGGAACTTACAGGCGTGGATTTTTCTTGAGTCCAGTTTATGGCTGCCATAGTTTATAGTGGTGGATGTTTGTCAGACAAAGCAATTCTGTTCCCAACTCCACTTATAGTCATTAAATCTATTTGACAAGCAGCTAATGACATTTGATATTTAAATCTGCTATTTAATGATCTTTATCATTAGAACATTCCATTCTGCTGTGGGTAAGAAATAGTTAATTAGATTTCCATTGTAATGGGGAAGTGACCTATAAAATATGCGAGGTTATCAAAAGTTTCTTGTTTAGTGGCCAGGCTTTAATGATTAACATGTGACAGGTTTATATATCTTCCCCTTCTCTGAAATGCACTCGTCAACCCCAGCCTTTTAAAGCTGCCGTAATTTGGAATGCACGCTGGAAATTATTGTCTGATTTCGTACAATTACAATTTCTCCGTTAGAACACAAACAATAGTCTAACGCTCAGGCAAGCTAATCATTCATCAAAAGAGATGCATTATCTAAATTACACTCAGAAAGATGAGACAGTGTCTTGTAGCAAAGTCTTTTTCAGACATTTTGAGCATGTTTTAAATGTTAAACATACATTTAAATTAAGCATGCCATCTTTGAAAATACAGTAACAAATATTATACGATACATTTCACAAGATATATTCCAAAATGATGTTTGTTTATGACTGTGGGTTTTGTCTCCCTACAAATTAAGACATGGTTGAGTCCATTTGTAATCTCTCTTGCAGACACAGCTGTGATCTATTTATGCAATTCATCGAGCACTCTTAATGGTCATAAACCAGGAATGTTTCATTTTTATCAGTGGGGGTGTCATTAACTACAGGAAGTGAGTCAAGTTGTAAAAAAACACCACAATTCTCGCTTGAAGCCAGTTCGATTAATTTGTTGAACAAGTTCTCTGATAACTACCTGGTGGGTTCAGAACAGCAAGCAGGAAGTTGTTGTTAAGGCTTAAATGAGTATGATCATTGACTTAATAGGCTGAGGATTAACAAGTTTTGTCCCTCCCTTTTTTGATGATTCAACCCTCTCTGTTCACAAAGTTGATGACTCCAAGTTGTATATCTGATCATGGAGGTATCTGATGATATCTAATAATAATCCCTATCAAGCTGGACTGTTTCTTTTTGACCTTTGGGTTGCGAATAGGTTTAATGATTTGAGTGTCAACCAAACCCCAAAAAAAAAAAAAAAAATTACTGACGCATAACAATGGGGTCTTTCTTTCCCCTTTGCCCTTTTCACCTGTTTATATAGCAGAACCCCTTAAATTAAGGAAACACATGAAGGGAAAAAATGGTGTCTTTTTAATACGGCTGTCCTCTAAATAAGGGTAGACTGTAGTGTTACGTTTTTCCCCCGATTACATTATGGCCAAAAAAGTGTCGTCCTTAATAGGAGTATTCCTAAAAGATATCCCAAAGGAGGGTTTCTTTTGTTTTTGTTTTTTTTTTTTGCTTTTGTAAGTGGATAATCCATTATATTTTAATATTTTCATCACTCCAGGTCTACCTTGGACCCCTTTTTTCATGTCCCCCTGGGCCTCCTTATTTTCTTTATTTTTTAAAATAAACATTTCATGCGACGATTTACCCTGAAAAAGTATGTAGAAAGTTAAATGTGCTCCTTGACGAATGCTAAGAAATATAGACCTATATCTTGCATGTGTTTGTTGGGGTTTGTGTGTGTGGTCCTTTGAAACAAAAAGAAAAGTGGGGATAAAGATTCTATAGTTTTAATTATCTCATAAAAATTGAGCCTATATCACTTGGAGAAGATTAGAATTGGACAGCAAATGATGAGCGCCCTCGGTGTAGACCAACAGTTTAATAGATTCATGCAGTGTACGTGGATCACTTTGTTGAAAACAGAATTGAACTCTATTGGCAAGGTCAACATGGTGGACATTTTGGGAAAAATAATTTACTAACAGAGGGATCCTTTCTTATTTCACATTTCAGACGGATTTGAGAACTACCATATCATCATCATCATCTTCAACATCAACAACTTCATCATCATTGATTAATATTATCTTCATTTATTTCTAATGATCATCATGTCAGTTTCATTGTTGACGTCATAATTATCGATCTACTATTCGTTATTGTCATCATCATCAAAATCGTCATTGTCATTGATTGTCATTGTCATAATCTTCCACCATTATCATCATCATTATCGTTATTATCATTCTGTTGTCATCATTATGTTTCATTATCTTCATGGACATCATTGTCGTTATATCATCATTACTATTACTATCATCTTCAAACTTGTCATTAACATGATCATCATAATTGTCAATGTCATAGTCGTCGTCTTCATCAGCATTGATTGTCATCATAAACCTTCTACCATTATCATCTAAGTTATCACTACAGAAATAGGAAGCTATAAGGCTATTACCAGGGTTGCAGTATTTCTACTAAATCAAGTGCGTTGTAATTATATTGCTTCTAGTAATGGATTTTGTTTCATTTCTATAAAACAAAATCAGTAAATTAAAAATTCTAGCCATACTGGCACTGCAAACATTATGATAAATCATAATTCGAAAAGAAAAAAATATTAAAGTAAAACAAACCTACAATAATTATAATTGTGTTTAATGCAAACTTTTTGTTACTGTATATTTTGTGGTGTTATCAATCTTAAAGAAATCCTCCAAACTTTGGAATCAAGATTTTTTTTCTGACTATTACGAATGGAAATTGTATAAATCAGCTCTTCGAACACTAACAGACCAATCAAAGTTTTACTGTTACTTATAATCATTTATAATTTTAAAATATATATAAATAATATATACATTTCAAAAATATTTCACTGTCATCAGTAAATTAGTTTTCAGGTTAGTACATGAAATTTATTAAAAATAACCCACAGTTAAAATTTTAATGGTAATTACGGTATACTATGTACGTAGGACATGTACACAATGAAGTATTAAAATATTTCAATACCAGTAAGAATATTCTGTACAACTTATATTGATGCCGTACAATCAAACTTTATAATTTAATCATCAATTCATTCATTTTTTAATACCAAATTCTGAGGGTATTTTAAAAATTTGTTTTTAGCGATTCTATTGGTTTTCATTCTTCAGTGCATTAAAATCATAAGCACATCCTTATAGCCAATGAAAAAAAAAGATGGCTTGATATTTATATTTTAACTTGTTTTAAGAGATAATGCAGCAAAATAAAATAGAATATTTTTAGTATTTATTTAGTGTTAGTAAGCTAATCCAAGTTAAAGGACTGAGGATGTTTACATTTTAAACTTGCATTAATGGATATGTACACCATTAAAATTAATGTCTGCAGTGAGAGCCACCATGTATAGGTTAGTGTTTATACCCAAGCATATTATTGTTTTTAAATCTGAAACAAGTACTTGTAATCAATTACCCAATGAGTGACGGTAACACTTTGCTAGAATCACTTTAATTCCGCTTTGGCTAACTGGTTAAGAGACAGTGTATATGCCACACCAGGGATTAGCCCCAAATGGTAATATTGTCTGCAGGTTTTAACAAACATTCGTTGATTGACTGGATTATGATACAGTATTTCATACACTTTGTGGTTAAAAGTATTAACATTTGAAAACTTGGTTACAGAATATGATCTATTAAGCTTCAGTTGGGCTGTTTTCGACCCAATGCAGGCATTTTTAACAAAGTCAATGTCATTTTTAATAATTAAAAAACTTTTAATTGAGGTAAATTTATTAATATTAATTTATGCATAAAATTATACCAAAATCTAAAGTTCCTAAAACATGTATTTGAGATCATATTATTCTATATGTGCAAACAGTCTTTTACCATGAATGCAATTGTAGACATGATTCAAATTTGATGTATGTACAGCGTAGCGTATTGTTCTACACCAGTGGTCTGTTTAATTTGATCCCATAAAATGTACATTACTTTAAACTACACATCAAAGAATAACAGTTATGAAGGTAAATATATAATAAAAGGTTAGAGTATCTGAATACCATTGTACTGGTACTAGTAGGAAATATGTTAAAGTGATGAAAAAGTATAGTGTGTACTGGTATAAATTATACCAAGTATAATTATTGAGTTGAGTTGAATAGCTTGGAGATTAAGATGCTTGCCTTCCAATCCTGGGTTCAATTCCTGTCAGTGCTGCAGGATTTTTCTCTCACGACCAAAACAACTCCACTCCCTAAACCTCATAATTGACATTTAGTTTGTATAGAGCATCTTGTGTATATGTTTGTCTTGTGTAAGTCATGTCACCACAGGACAGTGATATATTTGCTAACGACAATCCTTGGTGCATGAGTTGCATGCCTAAATAAATAAATAATAATAATAATAATAATGCTTAATGTAAAGAAGTGCTTTAACCAAAAAGAGAAATATACAATCAAAAACATGCAATAGAAAAACCAATTTGTATAATTGATTAAATAATAATATTCATAAATTCAAGCAATTAAAAACATCCTTTTAAGGACACCATTTTAGCAAGCAGTAGCTTTTAATTAGAAATGATCAAAAATCTAAATTGGTAATATTTTATTTTAGTATTTTTATTTCTAAATAAAATCCAGACTGTTCAAGATTTAAAATTCAGGTAATTCTAGTCTGAATTTTTTAGTAACCAAAAGTTATGGATCTATGATTTTAATCACCTATATGACATAAGTGTTCTTTGTTTTATGTTAATTTTGTTCTTTATTTAATTTCTATAGGCAATCACTACGGTACACCTAAACCGCCTGCAACACCAGACGCTTCCGTGCCATCCACCCCTCAAAAGCAACCAAATAACACCAACCCAGATCATAGGCCTGGGGCCAGACCATCCTCCCAAGGTAAAAGGCAAAGAAACAAATCCAGCATAGAAGCAACAACGTTAAATTCAAAGATGGTTGATGAATCAGAACAGAAGAGACAAGATGAGATGGATAAACGCTTGCAAGAATTAGGGCCTCTGCCCTTGGATTGGGAGGTAGCGTTTACAGATCAGGGAGATATGTATTTTATTAAGTAAGTATTTTATATTGCCAACAGAACAGTCTTTGACTAAACCATAATCATCATCATCTTTGTCATTGGGGTCACCATTCGTAGCATTACTGTCATATCCACTATAATTACAGAAATCCATTCTAGTCACAAATTTAATGTAATTCTTTGCCTATTTTTTCATTTAGATTTGACAATGTACTTAACACAATGTACCATCTATGCCATCTTGACACCATGTGTACATCATATATATGACATTTATACGCCATCGTTACGCCATAGAATTATTGTGCATAATGTGCAAATAATCTACATTTACATAAAATTGAACATTTCATTAGTCCTACCAAACCTAGCGTTGCCTCGATAATTGAGAAGTGTGTGTCTGTTGCTTTGTCTAATTGACTAAATCATTGTGATTTTGTATAGACTCATCCGTCATACAACTTGTAATTATCGTCGATGCTAGATTTATCTTCTATTCTGCGATGCCAGCCACCATGAAAAAAATAGGACAGATTTATTGCATCTGTCCAAGTCATTTTCTGTTTTTGTCATGTTTTTGATGTTTTTATTGCTTTCTGTAACATATTTCAACATACAATGTACTGATGAAAGCGGTGTGAGGAGGTCAGAAATGGGATGAAAGGGAGGGGAATATGTGAAGAAGAAAAAGATAGGGAAGTTAAGCCAGTACAATCTCAAATCTACACATTGTATTACTACCTACACCTTCTGCTCTGCTGTCACTGATGCTGCTAGTACTATTGCTGCTACTACAGTACTGTTAGAAAATATGTTGAGTTCTTTACAAAAAGAAATAAGGACTAGGCTTTATTTATGATTTGGAATAATACATAAATGCTTCCAAGGTTGAGGAGCAGAAAGGTAAAGAGTGCGAATTTGCTGAACTTGCGGAAAAGATGTCTATGAGATTTTGGAAAATTGAATAGTGTGGAAATATACCTCTTTATTGATAAACCGATAGATATACTACTACCATACTACTACTGTCTCCCAGTTTACAAATTAAGATGTTAAGGAGTCTCAACTACTCTTAATGTTGACTGGAAATAGCATGTGACAATTGTTGAATTATATAGAAATATACCATAAACAAACCTCAAAATAAGAAAGGAAAAACCAGATTTGCTGGACATTATTCCAAGAGTGAGAATCCAGCATCCATTTTTTTTCCGCTGGCTACTACTACTACAACATGGGAGGTGTAAAACATGGGAAGCATAAACCAAGGAAGACCGATGCTCAAATTCTCAAAGCAGATACTGACCTGAACTGGTAGACCTCAAAGCAGATATGAATAGCCGAGCGGTTAAGGCAGGGGAACCGTAACCATAGCCAACAATAACGGCACGAGTTCGCAGCCGCCTTGTTCCTAGTTCCGGTGGTGGAACAAGTCTTCTCGGATAAGGACTGTAAACTGTAGGACCAGTGTACACAAATGCTCATGTGCACTTTAAAGAACCCAGTACATCTTTCAAGATGAGTAGGAGGTTACTCCGGTGTACTGGCCCATACGGCCACTGTTGTCTTGTGATGGGATTGCCACTTTTAAGAGTGATTTAGTTCAATGTTTGGCATATCCCTGGGCCGCGTGCCTAAAGCTGTATAAGTAATGGACAGAAACCTTTAGAAAACAACCATTTTTCAGGTATACCACCCGCTTAAAGCAAGCAAGGATGCTGCTCGTTGGAGACCCTTGGATACTTGACAAAGTTATTATAACACTCCCTTGAATCTCCTTGTATAGTAAGTTCATGTCATCTCATGATATTGCATATTATGGAATGAGTTAGCAAAATATATCAAATGTATGTCACTGTATTGGAGTAAACCTCTATTAGAATGTGAAGATGTTGGGTACAAATTTAGGAAACACTTATTATCACCTTTAGGATTGACACTTGTTGCTGGATGAAAAGTCAATTAAAACCAAGTTTTAAAAGAATTAGTTTCCATCTGAAGGCCTTTATTCGTTTGTTTATTTTTTTCTTTTTTTTAATTATTTTTTTTGAGAAAAGGAAATATATTTTATATATTGAGCAGCAACAAAAATTAAGCAGACAGGATCTGAACTTTTTTTTAAAAAAATGAAGGGCTCTTTATTTCCTTATAATTTTTTTTTTTTTTTTGGGCATCATCTCTTTGTTATCAAGTTGTTATGTGAATGAAACCTATTATGACCTACAAAGGACAAAGTAGAATAATAATAAAAACTATTAAACTAGTCAAGTGGGGGAAAAATATATTTTAAACATGGAGCGGCAACGGAAATGAAGCAGGCATTTCTAATATAGTTCTTGATTTGACCTAATTATGAGGTTAGTCCAAGAAATTATAGTTGATTATATTAGTTTACATTATTTGGATCATGGAATTTTAAGGTCAACAATTTGCCCGCCATTCTATATAGCTCAATTCTCTTCATATTAAATAATTCATCATTAATTAATGTTCCAGCACCTTCCTCTTGTCTACATATAAACAGTCGTAAACGTATGTACTGTATCTATGCACATTTATATAGATGGTTTGTACTGTTGCTCTACCAGCATCTGAACTGGACAAATTAACCAGGGGTATAATTCCATAACCTGAATAAGGAAGCAAAATTAAGACCAGAGTGCTTCTCTACGAGGTGTTAAACAGAAAAGCAGATCTTCCTTATAATCGCATCCTGTGTGGAAAAGGCTTGGCTGCAGTCAAACCCTTATTGCGTAGTATCTAAATCACCATTACCTGAGTACTTAACTTGGAACATTCTGTTTATCAATTGTGCTAGCAGATTTGAGTTATTTTATTAGTATCGCTTTGTGGCCTCAAGGTAAGGGTGCCCAAAAATGTTGTATTTAATTCACATCTTCATGTGATGTTGGATTTGTTAGGATTAAGAATAATTGTTTAGGATATTTATTTCATAGAATATTGTGGCTATACTGTACTTGTTCCTACACTATAGCAGATAGCATTTTTTTGTTGTATTATTATTATCGGTTTGTGGTCTAGAAATTAATTTGCCCAAAATGTTGTGATGTTAGCTTCATTTGGATTAAGATTCCGTTCAATAATTGTTTGATGGAGTATTCTGGGTAATTCCTACTCTATGGGAAGTTTTTGTTGTTTTTAGCAGTATTTCATTGTGATTAAGAATTAATAATAATAATAATAATAATGGTCTACTTATAGAGCGCATATTATAGAGACCTCTATGCGCTTAACATAACATAAATAAGAATACAAATAGAATGATACTTAACTAATCCTACTCCTTAAACTAAACATGGTTTGGCCGTTGACTCCGTGTTCACATGTTCATGCTGCTTTCATGTTCATTTTTTGCTTTCTTAGGATTTGTAGTGCTTTTATGACATTTTCATTGGAATATTTTCTCTACCTTATTGTTTGGGAATGGTTAATATTAATATTGCTTTTAAATGCTTTGTGGTCTATTGGTAGAGTGCCCAACAACTGATTGTGAATTCTCATGTTAAGTGTACATGCACACTATTTGGCTTTGTTAGGATATTTTTAGAATTTTTAAAAAATTTATATTCATTAATGTTCTTCTGCTTAATGATTTTACTAGCTTATGTTATTACTATCGCTTTGTGGTCTAGAAATGAGAGTGTCCGACAAGTTATTATGAATTCACATGTTCATGTTAATTTCTTTTGTTCAGTACATCATTTATCTGTCAGTTATCACTATAAGTTATTTGCATTAAGATTTATGCAATACATTTTTCCATCTCTGAAGTTTTTTTAAAATCTCTTTCTTATTAATGTTAATGATTTTTGTGTCTTCTCATATTCCTAGTGTTGTTGAGTATATATATGAGCATTCTGTTATGCATTTCATTCTATTAATTGCCTAGCTTTATTTGTGAAATATACCTACAGCTGAAACCTGTGTTATTATGCTAACCTTAGATACCAATCCAGTTTACTCAACTATTTAATATACTGTATTTATTAAATTTTGTTTATTTGATTAATTTACTTTATTAATTTTATTTATACAGTTCATCTAATTTGTAACCACCTTTGGTCCCTGGAAATTTTGGGTGGTTTCAGAGTTTCGGTTTTCACTTAGATGGTTAGCCTAGCGTTTTAATAGGTTTAGATTGTTATTTGATTCTTTGAAAATGTGGTCTTGTTCGGAATTAAACTGGGTGGGGGGAGGTCTTGAATTGGAGGGTCCACTTTATTTATTGTTTTATTTAATAATAATAATATTTGTTTTATTTGGGTTTTGTTTAAGTTATTTTTTTGTTGTATTTATTTTAATTATTATATTTGTTTATTTTAATCAGTTTACTTTAAAATTCCTTCTGTAATACACATAGACCCAAGGTGCTACGAAAAAACTGAACAAGGAAATAAATACCTTATAGTTACACTATGACCTAAAAACAGCAAAAAAATAAAAAATACCTTATAGTTACACTATGACCTAAAAACAGCAAAAAAAAAAAAAACACCTTATAGTTACACTATGACCTAAAAAGAGCAAAAAAAAAAAAAGAAAAAAAACTCTGAAAAAATGTTCATCATACCAATTGCTGACCAGGAATAGGCCAGGGGCCGGATTTATTAAACTAGAAATCAGCTTAAATTCACCTTAAGTTCATTTCTTTGCTGAAGTCAGGTATTGCTTAGCTTATAAATTGCTTAAAAATAAAAATTTAATTGTACGCATGCGCCATCTAAGACGATTTTTAAACTAAGATTTTTGATGGTTTGATAAATCAGCTAAAAGTATTTGCTTAAAGACATCTTAACTTTTTTTACTTATGACATTTGCTGAGCTGAGATTGATAAATCCTGGGCCAGCTATTCATTTATTTTCATATTTGCTAAAGGCCAAAAAATGTTATCATTTAAAAATGATAACATTGAAATAAAAAATCATAACAATATAATGATTAAAATATGATACTCTACAATGTAATTTTACAAACTTTTTCATTGAAAGTTGCTCGGAATAGTGCAAGTTTCCTCTGTTGTTGTGTAAGCAGTTTAAACTGTCAAATTATCATATTTTTTAATAAGGTTGTTATTGTGTATACCTGGCCTTAATAATACCCTAACAAATAATGACTCACTTGATCGTATCAGGTCAACGACACCTCTACCTGTCCTTCCTGTCTTGATATTCATTATAGATATTGAAAACCTTAATGCTGTTAAAAACACCCAATATTGAGACTTTTTTTCTTTTTTTATCGCGCTTTATTTTTGACACATTGTCAAAGGAGTGCAGAAAAATATATGCATTATAGGTATTGAAACTCTTAATGCTGTTAGAAACATTAAGTACAAAAGCCCAATATGCCAGACGAAACACTTTTTTTATTCATTTATTGCACTTTATTTTTGACAGATTATCAAATGAGTTCAGAAAAAAATTTAAATAAACTTTTGTTTTGTCACTTAGCAAAAATAAATATAAAATTTTATCAACGAATTGGGAAGATTACAAATGTGTTAAGTCCTGTCCACACTATCACATTCTATTTGACAAAAATATGTGACATGCCTAAATATGGTCATGATGACATCACATCCTGACCATAACTATATATGGGCACATATCTGGACAGAGCTTTAGGTTAAAAAGTTTTGTAGTCGTTTATTGTATTCAAACGCATCAATATTAGCGGTTGGAGGGTTTCGTGAAACATAGTGGTATTAAAAAGAGTCTCACCTTAAGGATAATATGTTTTAAAAAAATAAAAAAGTTGAGGTTTTGCTGAAAATGATGCTGTTTTCAAACAGTTCTGTTTAAGAAGTATTAAGCATGTGGGTTTATAGGAACTTCAATCAGGTTTATGTGTGTAAAACCAGTAGTACCCTAACCCTAACCCTGTGGCATCAGTGAGAATTGAAGGGGGATTAAGTATCCCCTGTGTATAGCTACATGCATATCATTGCACATGAGTCTATGAGAATACTGTGTGCCACAAATGCAATGTTGATCTATGTGTGTATGTTAGTGTGTGCGAACAAATTGGTATGAATTAACTTGGTTGATTATAAACATGACAAATCCACTGACCGAACGTGCAAGTGTGATGTATGAAATATTTTCACATACTTTTTGTTGAAATCCATTTACATACATCGCATTCAGAAACAGTAAAGTTATTACCGCTTTCATTTCACAGGAGAAATTAACTAATTATGACCGATTGCTTTTAAACATTTCAATTGAACTATTTTCTCCTTATCTAGCCACGTAACAGAAACAACGCAATGGTTGGATCCAAGGCTGGAAATGAAACGGAAGAAAGATCTTCTTGAATGTGATGATGACGGTATAATAATAATTTCTTTATTTATATTATTTTCTTTATTTAACTTTAGAAGCTTTCAAATGTTTCCATAACCATTTAAAGAAATGTTATTTTATGACAAAAATGAAGACAGAACAAGGTAAAAATAAATTTGATATTACTCTTACATATACTTTAACTTATCTTTAGATATCACATATCAATTGATGAGAACATAGTTATAGATTCTTAAATGTCATGTATTAAGTAAATATATACTATATTTGTATACTAAAATTAAAAAGTAAAAATAGATTTAAGTCTTAAAATTTATTGAATTTTGTTTTGTTCCATTCAAATCCAACAGAGATTATGAATTCTAACAGGTTGGAGAAAAAAAAGGGAGTTATATATAGTGTTAAATATCAAGCTATTTAATTATCGTGGATCTTAAAAAAGCAGCTAGGAAAGCAGGGAAGCTTAAGTTTCTTCCTCCCCTCCCCATCAGACAGGCTATGACCCTGTTGGCCATTTGGCAGAATATATCATGAAAGTTAAAATGTCATAAAATTACTATTTTTTTTCTAGTCTCCATTATGCTTAGTCTCCAGGACCCTCAATAGAACATTGCCCTCCCCAGACCCCATTGATCTGTCAGAAATTTTCAGACCTCTCTCTTACATCAATCACATATATTTTATCATTTCTATATAGATCATAACCTAAATAGATCAGTGTAAAAGCAGCACAAAAAAATATAGAAGATAATGAATGGTAATAAATATCAATGTTGTTATCTTCCTCATTATATTAATATTATACTTTGAACATTAGTTGCATTTTGATGTTCAATAAAGATGATTCTAAATACTTGTCATTTACCTTACAGAATTACCATATGGATGGGAAAAAATAGACGACCCACAGTTTGGTAGTTATTTCATAGAGTAAGTATCGAAAGAAATCAATAACAATAACTTGCTCATTAAATAGTTATTTTAGGAAAAAAAATCATAATCAGGATTCGAACCCAGACCCTACAATTACTTATTGATGGATCTACCAAGTCCTCAAAGCTCAATTTGTAAGAGCTGCCAAATGACAATCCAAGGATCTTGAGCTCAAACCTTGAAAATGAAAAAAGCAAAAAAAAAAATAAAAAATTAACATAATTTTATCAGTTACTGATGGCAGAACTGAAATCTAATATTTTAGGGTTTCAAGCGTTGCTAGTGATTGTCTAACTCAACTGGTCTAACTGCTGTATCTATTGTACTATTCTTCTTATCAAACCTTGCGTCAAAAACAAGACAAACTCTGAATCATAGAAAGTTAACTCAAACTTAAATCAAATTATACTAAGAATATTCGAAAATTAAGCACGAGAAAAATAAGATTATTCAATTAAAGCCTAAGGTGTGGAAGTAAGATGAAATTTTGGATCTGCATGGCATCACCATAGCAACATTTTGGCTGTTATTGTGACTAGGCTATTTATAGTATGGTATAACTCAGCTTTTGCTTGTTTTTTGAATGGTTGGATTTAAATTGTTGTGCATATTGAACCATTTTTGTGAAGATTTATGATGATAATATTGAACCGTTACGTATCCTTCAACCCAACAAATGTTGGATTTTTTTTTTCAGTCATTATGTAACATAATACCATCATGCATCTGAACTATAGAGGGGGTAATTTAGAATGACTCTCTTGTTATTAAACATTTTATGTGAAACTATATCAATGCTGGATATTGTTTATTTTTTAATGCATCTTAGTCACGTGAACAGAAAAACACAGTATGAGAACCCGGTGAAGCAAGCAAAGAAAGAACACGAAAAAGAAAAACCTTCAACATTACCGAGACCAAACAAGAAAGGCAAGATCCCACCCCCAGCCCCACCTCGCACAGTCAGCGAAGGAAATATCACTTTAAAACAGGCCAACGGACCAGTACAGACTGAATCAGCGTTTACACCTACTATGTCCCCAACAGGTAGGTATATTTTATGTAAATGAGATGATGGTTAGATCAAATTGCTTGATGGATGAAGTTTACGGCCTAGTTCAGACTAGGTGGATAAACCTGGCTCAACTCACCGGGTTTATCCACCTGCCAGTCTGAACTAGGTGGCTTATCTCAAGCCGGGCTGTGTTCTTATAGTAACTAGGCCTGGCGTGCCACCGTGTTTAACTTTTCTAAGCCGGGCTTTAATCCTTGCGGGGGGGTCTTGCATTGACTTCAGGTAACAAAATGACCAATCAGCATTCAATTACTTACGCTGTGAGGGAGTGTACGTTTCACGAGCAATGTTTTGAAACACATTTGCTGGTTACGGTTCTTCATTATTATGACAATTCTCGCGCCTGGCTAATCCCGCAAGTCTGAACGCCTGCCAAAGTTAAGCCGGGCTTAGTGTTGAGCCTGGCTTATCTCCAAGTCTGAACGTAGCCTACATTAATCCTCATAGGAGCATGAGTATACTGCAGAATTGTAGTCCATTATCGAACAAGTTGCTATCTGCCATTGGTCAACTGTCAAAACTTAGGACCAATTACCAACCCCCTGATTCTACCACAGCATGAACTGAAACGAACCTTAACACATTCCATTCTACAGAGAAATTTCACTACCACAGCATAGAGTTTATCTGCGCAAGCGCAGTATATACTGGAAAATGAAAGCTTGCTTTCACTTCCTCATAATCAACTTCATCACATTTTGCTTAAAGTTATTATTTATATTGTCTGTGATTGACAGCACCAATGGGCTTCATGGAAGATCAACTCCATGGTGAACCAGCAGTGGTGTATCTAGGAGTCTTGAAATAGAGGGTGGGAGGGGGTGGGCCTGATAGGGGGGAAAATGTAAAGTGGGGCTCAATGATTAGGTGAGGGGTCCTAGCTCCCAAAATAAGGTGAATTGATGTGATTTTTAACTACTTGAGCATGATGTTGTAGGGTACGACTGGGGAGCACAAGTATTGAGAGGGGGAACATGTACACCCCCTCCTGATATGCCACTGTGAGCAAGTATATATTCAATTTTATATTATATGTTGTTATTCATTAACAAACATTTGAATATTATTACCATCATTATCATCTTCATGAAATTAAGTGACAACATAGAGAGAAGAATGAACAAAAAAGAAATGTTCAATCCACTGCGGCCATTAAACAACTCCTTGGTAAACAGTTATCTATTGTAAAATGTTTAAATTGTTATTATTCTTTACCAACCATTTGAAAATTATTATCATCCTTATCATTGTCATCATCATGACATTTAATGACTACTTCCAAAGAAGAATAAACAAAAAAGCAATTTTCAATCCGCTGCCATTAATCAGAGTATGTATTTTACATTTAAGGAAAAGGGTTGCCGCAAAATGTCTATTGCTCCTAAATGCATGTTAACCTAATGTAATGACTAAAATATATGCCATTTTCTAATTAGTCATGTTTTAATTTCAATTCATTGTTTTGATTTTAATTACATATATGATTTTCCTTGTTTGGAATGGTTTTTTTTGTATTAATTGGAATGAAATTGAAATTGGCTATTTATATTCCGAATGATATCACTATTCTCTTTCAATTTTCACCATTTTCTCTGATCTGTTCCAACAGCCTCGGAGTGGAGAGCCATGTTTACCAGCAATCCAAACGAGTTGAAAGGAACAAGGATAAAAACAACATTACTTAAGAGTACAAGAGGTTTCGGATTCACCATCATCGGAGGTGACGACCCAGAGGAGTTCTTGCAGATCAAGAGTGTTGTAGAAGGAGGTCCAGCTTACGATGACGGTGTCTTACGAATGGGTCAGTAAACACTCACAAAATCATGTTCCATAGTTGAGGCTTCCCATCCCAGAACCAGCATACTGTTGCTAATTGTTAGACTGAGTAAATAGCACAAGAATATGGCAGTACTATATATTTTAGTACAGTGTATTGTCGCTAATTGTTAAACTGAGTAGTTAGCATATGAATATGGCATTGTTGTATATTTTAGTACAGAGAAGCTGTAATTAATACCTTTACTCAACTTTGGCAATAGAAAGTCATTTGTAGTAGATATTAAAATTTATAATGTGGAGAACATGAATAAGAAGTTAATTTTCATGTTTTTGACTCTGATGCTAGTTTTGGCATGGCAAGCCCCTTTTATTCAGTGGTATATATACCATCGTCTAACTGCACCATCTTTCAATTCAGTGTTAGTGGAGGGATTGAGTGCTGGTGTGTGCACTCTGTTCAAACCAGAAATAGAGTTAGAAACTCCCAACTCCTAGGCCCATGGGAGGATGTCTTCAACATCACTGACAAAGTATGGTAGACACAGAATAATTATAAAAAAGAAAGCTACATTTATTTTTGTAATCTATAATTCTCACAGGAGCTTTTCATATCAATTAAAATACTATATAATGTAAGCACAGAACTGTTATGCTTTTTTGATCAGGTATTTTGTTATCTATTTAGACACAAGTGACAAGGCTTGCCATGCCAAAACCAGCATCATTTACTTACTAAATTAAAAAATTTAATTATTTTTTTCTTCAGGTGATGTCTTAGTTTATGTTAATGATACATTAGTACTGGGGTTTACGCATCATGATGTTGTTAAGATGTTCCAAGCTGTTCATCCGGGCGAGCCTGTTGACCTAGATGTATGTCGCGGTTATCCTTTGCCGTTTGATCCCGACGATCCATATACACACATCGTCCTCCCAGACCAAAAGAAACCACAGGATAACTACAATCCCAGTAGTCCGTACAAAGGGCAAGAGTATGACAATGCCTCTCACAGTAGCGCCAGTAGTCAGGAACCACAAGGAGACCCACGCTACCGAGCTACAAAATATAGCGAAGCACATAAATCATTGCCAGATCTTTCACAGAAGAAAGCTCCGGAAGAGATTCATAAGCGAGCTAAAACGCCAACACCAGGCAAGCAGGGTTACCACAACAATGCACACATGTCACCGGAACATCGACCGACGAGTTCTGATAAACCGGAATTCTTTGACATTTGTGTCACAAAGGGAAATATGGGATTTGGGTTCACAATTGCTGATAGTCCATATGGCCAAAAGGTTAGTGTTACACTTTTATATAAATATTATACCATATTTTAAGAGCTTGACTATTTTAGTAATGAAAGAAAATGTAATCAAAATGAAATTTAAATAACAGCATAGTACAGAGAATAATTCAATTCTTCATTCCACTTGGGTAATTTAAATCAGGACTCAATTTACATAAAAACAAATAAATATATTAAATAAATGATCTAACAGTGCGACATAAATACGAACTATGCAAAGCTAAACACACTTCAAATTAATATTTCTTATTTTAAACTTTGATGCCATTTCTCTGAGGACTGTGGTAGCAGAGGCCAAGTGTATACCAAATCAAATTCTGAAAAAAGGGACATGTTCTAGTGTTTCTAAAAATACATGTTTGACTAAAATCTGTTTGTTGCAAATTATCAACAAAGTAAACTACAAGCTAAGTTATTCCTGCTCTCTAACTCTGCAATTTGTTTTCTTCTACTCTGCCAAGTCTAGTGTAATTCTTTTTTAATCATACAGGTGAAACAGATTTTGGATAGCGAGCGTTGTAAAACCCTGAGAGAGAGTGATATTCTCATGGAAATAAATGATGAGTATATTCGTGATCGACCTCATACTTATGTTGTGAATCTACTAAAGAATTGTCCAAATGGAGTCGAGGCAGCTCTTGTAGTACAACGAGGAGGTATGTTGTGTTTTTATTATTGGACAAATTCTGTTTTCTGGAGAGTGGAAAACTTATCTCTTTGTGACCAATTCTATCCTTTGATGACAACTTTATGTATTGTGACCAGTTCTATCTCTTGGTGGCAAACCCTTGGTGCAAGCTACATCTCTTAGTGACAAATTCCTTTGGTAACAAAGTATCCCTATTTGATCTTCTAGTGACAAATTGTCACCCCTTGGTGTAAAATTTATCCCTTAGTAATGGTCACCCCTTGGTGACAAAGTATCCCATAGTGACAAATTGAGTCTCTTAGTGACACATCATGTCCCTTGATGACAATTTTCCCTTTAAGGACATATTTTATACCTTAGTAACAAACTCACCTTGATTGTGGGTGATCTTATTGAAATTTGATGATAGTCATTGTGCATGTGGTTTTTGTCATGCCATGAATTATACTGCCCTCATGTGTCATTAATTGCAGATTGTATACATAGTTGTTGGTGTTCTATGAAATTCGAGATGTAGAAATGAGGAAATAATGTGACATTTCATTGACTAAAGTATGTGTTGGTATTTTAAAATACCCCTTGCTGTGTTTTACCTTTCACAGTTAGCATGTACTTCCCAAGATAAATATTCTTATTTCAAAGTTGATTTAAGACTGTCTACCATACTAAAGACACATTTCAACTTACCATGCAGATCCCAAGAACAATATAACACAATGTAGTAAGCTGTACATGAGTCCTATGCTGTGAGAAGTGCTTCTGTGGCTTTTAATGCATATAAATATTGCTTATTCTGGTGTTAGCCTTTTTATAAAGTGAGCCCTCTATAATAGTTTTTCACCATTTGGGAATTACAGGTCTCCCTCCAATTAAAAACCACTTTTGGGACCAAGGTTCCATAGTCTTTAGCAGCTTTGGTCTCTAATTAGAATAATAAAGATAAAAGACATGTGCAAATTTGGGACCACAGAAAAGTGGTCTTTAGTTGGAGGTGGTCTTTAATTGGAGGGGTTTTTAATTAGTGGGAGACCAATATGACTAAAAATATACAATAAGTAAGATATCTACAATTTTTTTTACATTCTTTTATTTTGCCCTTCATAGCTACCTTTAACATTTTAAATAATTTTGTAATATTTTTTACGAATGGATCATATTTCTATCCTTTTCAAATTATGGGAATCCAACATTTTGGAATGTCAGTGGATGGGGGAGCATAGGTGAATATAATGATGATGAGGCTTTCTGTAGAATATTCCATATAAGAGCAAAGATCTTTAATAAGTGACACTATTATTATTATCATCAGTTGCATGCTATAAGATCAACCTATTTCTAGTAGGCCTACTGCCAGTCAAAAAAAAAAAACTCTAAATCTTATCTTTCAAGCTGTTGGCCTAATTTACATTTTAAGAAAAAGCTGCTCAATCTGGCTGTCATCATCAGCACTTGACTATAACGCTCATGGCACTAATTAACGTTTTCAATGGCTATCCATTTTAACATTTACCATAGTGGTTCCCAAAAAAATAATTAAGAGGCTTTGCTTATGTAATCTCAAAGAATTGCCAGCTCAAGTCTCTCAAATCGGGTTCCTACCTAGAAGACAGTTTCTGGCTAGATTCGGAGCAACCCCAAAGTAGGCCTATCATATTTTATGACCAATGATTACCCAGGGAAAAAAAAAAGGTGTGTAGCAAATTATCATTAGGCCTAATTCCCATCATTCATATCTGTGGGTTGAATCAGAAATGATGCAGAGTGCCAACTCCAATCGTAAATTGTAAACACAAAATCTGGCAAGGGCCAGCTGGAAGTTGGGCCCCAGTTCCAATTGGTAATATAAATTGTTCCATTTTTGATTAGGTTTACAGGTGTGATGAATATGTTTTAAGTATTTGTGATAAGAAACTTTCTAGAGTTACACTTAAATACTGAAGATGCAATATCCGAAGAATGCATAATTCCTGATGATGTAGCATTTGATGTGAAATTACTCTAAACCTGGCTATCTTATCAGTTGGTTGCTGATAGATCAACTGTACTTTAATGATTCAAAATGTTTTAATATGAGAGGGAGAAGGGTAGGGAGGGATAACCTATAGATTACAGTTTATAAGACTATTGGATGAGGAAATGTTCAGTTAATATGAGAAGGGGGAGGGGATAAGAATTAAATGAAACAAAACCATAGAGTACAGTTTGCGAGATAATCTGTTGAGAAAATTTTTAGAAATTCCTTGATGGCAAAAATGTGGTGTGGACTAAATGCTTAATTAAGTGAAACATTCTACATCAGTGCATCTTACATCCATCATTCATTAGGGAAGTTGACAGCCCGGAGTCCTAATTATGCAATGTTGTTATCTCGGCCTATTTTTAAGAACATATAAATTCTAATGTGCTAAGTATCCTGGGCTAATTTTACTTGTCCTAAAGAATTTATTCTCAAATTACTTTATTTAAAACATGATCTGTGAGACAAGAAGTAGATTCATATAGTCGACATAACCATCAGCCATTCAAAGCTCCTCAGGAGCATCAAGTTCCAAGATCTTAAAAAGGATTGACCTGAAAGAGGTCAAATGATGCATCAGATAAATCATCGTGGGCAACACTTCTTAGCATGTTTGTAGCATAACATAAATTTTTAAGTATAATCTATCTTAATTTACATTTTATATGTTTTCCAATCAGCATCCAACAGTGTACGGTATATAATGTCTTCGTAATCGTAACAAGTTACTTTTAATTTCAATGTACTTTATGGATGAATAAAAAGTTTTTCCTTACTGTACCTCATAGTAGAACTCCTCTTTCGGGGCACCACTATGCTTTTTTAGGCATGGGGTGAGGGAAAAATGTCTAACCCTAATTCAGGATGTATTTTCGGTCCTGAAGTTGTCCTCTTTATTGGAGCTCTACTGTATTCCCTTGTATATGAGTCTTTAGAAATGCACATTTGATAATAAAAATAAATTAACTTGAACTTGGAATAGTGCAAAAATTAAAAAAACATAGAAATATATAAAGTATTATAAGTATATACCATGTCTTATTTATGGTACCAATTAATAAGGGGCAGAGTACTATATTGTAAATAGTTATAGTTCATGGAACAAAGTACATGTACTTTTATTATAGATTTGAATATATTTGTAGATTAAATGTTAAATGAAAGCCAATCACACATACCTTGTCTCTGAGAGTAGGCATATATGAAATATTCTCAGCTATTAGTTGCAGAATTCTCAATTAGGTGATTCTACACACCTGTACATCTGGCTCGCATTAATTCCATAATCCCTCTTGGTAGCCTAAGGAAGTTAATCCCCCATGTTATCAAACTTAGATCTAGTCAGTCAGGCCAGACTGGGAATTTTTCAATCTTCTATATAATACTAGGGAGAAAACAAATGATGATGATTCCGATGACGATGGTGGTAATGAAAATAATAATAATGATACTAATTATAATAATAAGATTGCAATGCAGGGGAAAATTTATATTAATTTTTTTAATATACTTTGGAAAGAAAAATTTAAAATCTAGATGGCAACAATAAAGGGGCAGACAAGCACAAAGAACAAATTAACTTTTGTACTTGTAATTAATAAATGGTATCATAAAGGTTTGATAAAAGGTAGGATATTTACTGGCACTGAATGATGCACACCTATATTTAAACCAGGTAACAATTGCCATTATGGATGTAAACTGCAAGGTGTTACTGCAGACAAAAATAACCAAAGTGTAGGTCTTTCTTAGACTTTGATGTGCCCCTGGGCTACACACACGTGAATAAACACGCCACTCTTTTGAACAGTTTACTGATTGTTATTGAACACTCAGTTGTAAAGATCGTGTGTAAATTGAAATTCCGTTTTTCTAATGACGTCTGAAGTGTGCCAGTGATTGAATGACTTCGTTTAAAGATTTTTTTTTTTTTTTTTAATATGTCATTTAAAAATTTGATGGGATAAATATGTTAATTTATTATAATACATTATGAAGAATATAGTCAGATATTCCTATACAAGAAAGATTTAAAGAAAATCCACCATCGGAATAACTTTTGAAATGCCAACAATTTGTGGAAGTGGGCATTACCTGCTGCTTTTACCTCTCTTTCCCACCTGTGTTGTGGTAAGCCTTAATTGGCTGTGTTCACCTGAAGACCCCACCAAAGCCGGAAAAACTTTATTATGTCAATCACATTCTTATAATATTATATTTCCATTTATATTGTACATTTGTACATTTTTTTATCTGTTAAGTTGTAATATTTTAAAAATTCAAATAGAGATTCTTAAACCTTTCTCATTCATAATTTATTATAACTTCTAGACTGGTGGTTTGCATCTTAACCACAGGTTTTTACGAGATACAAGGTTTTTTATTAATGTCAAAAATATAACAAGATATAATTTCCTCAGTGTATTACCATACAACAAATGGTTTAAATAAAAAAAATATTAGTATTTAGTAGTCTATGTGCATAATATAGGACTACAAGTGTTTTAATAAGTGATAAAGAATTAACACATTTATCCTACAAGGAAATATATATGAAAGAATAAGAATGGGCATGCATTATCTCAGCTCAAAAATGTTGCTCAAATTTTTGATAAACTTCGAAAGTATGCACACAAAACATAAATTTTAACATACAACTGTTGGCAATACAGACTGATAAATCATGCTTAGAAAATAATTATTTTCCTGCTCAAATTATAGCATTATGTCAAAAGGTCACGTGGCAAGGGCATTCACCATGGTAACAGATGCATTCCTTTTCCCTGAATTATTTTCATTTTTGTTTGCTTGGAAAATATAATGAACTAACAATCTATAACAATTTATTTGGCTTCTTTTTCTAATTATTCTAGCAAAGTTAATTCCAGTTAAATATAAATTTAATGAAAGTAAAACTAAAGGATAAGATGAAAAAAAATATTGATTACGATAGATAATGATTTGAACATATCTGCTATACCAACTGTGATAATGAAATGAGAATTAAATTATGATAATATTACTGGAATATAATAATATTAATAATAATAATAACATTTCTGTATACTTTTTAGGTCAAACCTAAATTTATAGTTTGTACAGCTATTATTTCTATGGTATTCTATATAAAATTACTTATTATTAGATTTGAGAAGCTTTTAAAATATTATGGCCCTATATATTTTATGTATTTATCCAAACGGAGGAAATAAAAAAAAGTATTTCAAAAATGATCAATTATAATAAGAAGGGAACCCCTTCTGAAAGAAGCTTTATAGATTAAAGTGTTTTGTTTTTGGCCCGGCTTTTCATATTTTTCTTTAGTTATATTTTGAGTTGAATTATAAATTATGTATTCATATGGAAACCTTTACCAAATGTATTTTTAATCACAGAGCTCCCATTGTTACCATTTTTCCTGTGAAAGCTACTTCAATTTTTTAATAACTTCCAAATTTCTTTGATAAAAGGTTATCTAGGCATTGTGTCTTCCTTCCTATGTCTATGTCTGCTTCTTAGCTTACCATCTTTCCTTCTAATCTATTTAATTCAATAAATTTAATAAAATTGTTATTAATAACAACAGAAATATTCTTCCTGTACCTGCTTCTTAGTTTACCATCTTTCCTTCTAATAAATTTATGTCAATAAATTATGTAATAACAATTTTGATTCTTAACAACAGAAAAATGTTGTTGTTGCATCTTTAGTTTCATTTAGTTTAGTTTAGCTATGAACATTTGTCTCCAGTGAGAATTTATTTATAATATTCTATGTTTACAAATTAAATTAGTGCGTATTATCTAAATTGAATGTATATATCGGTCTACATTACCATTAATTTATTGATTAAAGAAGCAATTCAGTGAAATGATCAAAATAAGATTGTATTGAAGTTAGGTCAGTAGAGTTTTGTACTACATATAGTATACCATGTCCAGTTTTTGCTATGGTGTTTGCCATTTTAGTTTGTTGAATAACTTAACCTTAACATTGGTAACAGCTGCTCTCAATTGTTCTTCTCTTTCCAAAACATTTTGGTGATTGGGAATATTTTTTTTTTTAATATTCAAACAAAGCATCCATTTAAAACAATAGTAATAGTAATATAATATGACGGTCGTATGTCGAGCGCATGATTAGTGTACGCTTGATTCACATTAGACGAAAAAAATGTCCAGGAACCATGAAAAAATGAAATCCAGTTTAGACAAACAATAGGCCTTGTTCTTGGGTGTTTGGATAACTGTTACTCACCTAATGCATTTTGGCTTGTTAAATGGTAATCACTGGCCTAAATCCATGGTTTACTGTATCAAATTAAAATAATAAACAATTTTAAACATCATACAAGTATTTAGGATTTTTCCCTTATGAAAACTTATATTTCTTTTGAAAAAAGTGCATCCCTAGGCTTTTCAGATTTTGGGTCAATTTGAGCTTAGGCAATGCTACTAACATTTATTTGAGAGAGTATCAAAGTGACTAGCCTCTAATTTGAACCCCTCCACCCCAGTTATTCTGTGATCAATACCCAAAGGTACCATTTATATAAATGGATGGATAAATGATGGATGATTATTTAATCAAAATGTTGCCCCCTTTTTTCGCATTTTTTTTCATATGTTTGATCACCGGTGTTGTAAACTAAACTACTGTATTTGTTCTTATGGATGTTTTGTTAAAATTGCTTTTGGAACGAGAATACTACAGTTGAGAAAATAGATATTTCTTTATTCTTCATGAAAATTAAAGATTTCATTAAAATTGTTTTTCTTGGCAAGATATTGAAATGTTTCATAAACAGCAATATCTTTATAGTTATTCTTTAACCCTAGTCATATAAATATTATTACTTTTTTATACAAGTTCAAGACATCAAATAAGACATTAAAAAAATAGACTTACTGTACCTCTTTAGATTATCTATTGAGAAATAAATAAATAATTATTAAAAATGATGTATTCTACCATCATATATTTTACTAATCAAGTGGCAGATCCAGGTATTTGAAATGGAGGGGACCTAGAGAGGGACTTTCACAGATAAGGGTCTAGACCACCTCAGCCCCAACCATGGTGGGGAACATTTATGATTACGGCACCTATATGGCCGGAAATGGCAGTCTCAGACTTTTTTCTCAATCTTTTTTATTTTGAAAAATTTAGTAGGGGGAAGTGGGGGCTGGTTCCATTCCTCTTAAATCTGCCATTATAATCATGTGTTCATGTGTAGGCTTATGTTGACTTTTTCGTCACTGCTGCAGACTGTACTTGAACAATGACAAGCCTGCTATTTGCATGATAATCACTTTTGTACAGCCTGTCATTGAGCTATCTAAATAGGTTTACATCCCAATCTTAACACATGTTGTTGGTGCCTCATTCAGGGGTTCAGCCAAAACCACTTGCAATGGGAGAAGAAAGTTGTTCTATAAATTGAGCATGCCTTCTTTATAATCCTTAAGTCACCGTCCGTCCACAGGTGACATACTCCACATTCCAACGACTGTGGCTTGACATTAGGGTCTCTGAAGACACGCTCCAGCGATTTCTGTTTCTCTCTTCATGAATAGCAAAGCTGAGGGGATTTTCAGTTCACCTTTTCAAAGCCAGAAAGTGTTCACTTACAAAAAATGCTCTTTGGAATTAAATAAAAAAAAGGAATATAAAGACGTTCATAGTCGGTGATATGATGATGTTGCTCTTAACTATGTGGAGTGTTTATTGATGTAACGTGTGTATTCACCAGTCACTGCTGACTGCAGTGTGTTATTCTTGGGCTGCCCAGGGTGGTATTGTTATTCTGTTTGGATTTTATAGTAAAAACAGAAGCCACTTGTTGCCCTCACTATGCCTAACATTGTTCTTGATTCTAAATTTGCTGCAGGGATGCTAAAACCTGTCAAGAACAACAACATGCTGACCAAAGTAACCACGGTAAGTTGCATTTTTTTATCATTTAATTCTTAATCTTACTATAATTTCTATAAAAATTATTTTTTTATTTATTTTTAATTGAATGTCATTAAATTGTAATTTACATCATAAAAAATATTTATAAACAAAATTTGTCTCCCCATGTTTTCTCATAAATTTTCATTTATGCATGTACAGTATTTATATAGTGTGTTACATAATCAAGTGATTATATACCAAGTTTATCCATGAATTCACCTAGCAAAGGCAACAGGAGTATGATTAAAATTGTGTTCCAACTGACTTAAAAAATATAATAAATTCAGATTCAATTCAATAGGTAATAAATATTCAACAAATGTAAGTATTATTATGAATACAGACACATCTGGTTTTTTCAACCTATATTTTAAAGTTTATCTTAAATAACTTTAAATTATGGTTCAGCTTTTATTGAGAATTCTGTGATTTTGACATTTTGACATAAACATGGCAGCTAGTTGGCTGTTATAACGTTGCCATGGAGATGAGTGAAAAGCTAATAGTGAAGTATTTCAGTTACATCCCACAGGACTAATATATGTAAACAGAAAACCCTACTTAGAATAAACTGTGATCTCCCTAAAATGATGTACCATATAAGATTTTAAATGCATACCAAATATAGAATAATACTTAGTATTTGTTTTATACAATAAATGTAATATAATGTAAAATAATTTACATTAGTGACAAACAATTGAATAAAGGTGATTCATTGCGAAGGTGAATATTAAGGGGTTAATGGTGAATTATACTGAGAACCCTTGCAAAAGATGAATTGATTCTCTTAATGATGTAGTGTATGAATTTATAATGAACACTACATATCACTAGCTATATTATTAGTAAAAAATTATAGTTAGTGTCATGCATTGGAGATCAATTTCAGTAGCGTGTCTTCCAGCTTCATCAAGTGTATAGTGATTAATATTAAATACATAATTCATAATCAATAAATAACTCGTATTAATATCTTCTCACTGTCTGTGGTGTTGTAACTGCAGTTTAGAATGCAGGATATTTCTAAGAATCAAACTTAATAATGACAATATTAGATATTGATAAGAACTATAATAAGAATGATAGTAAGGATTATGATAGTAATATTGATATAGGTAGTAGTAATATTAATCGTAATCATAATATTCATGAAAACATTAAAAAAATGCTAGGATTCAACTTACATTATAATATCTTGTCATTGTCAATATGGTGTAAACAAGTGTTGAAAAAGCAGAATATTTTAAAGGAAACATTATGATGATGATGAAAATGATGATCATAATTATTATTAAAATGATACGTTATTAAAGATATTGATAATAATTATAATGAGGATGATAGTGATTATTATTATAGTAATATTGATATTGGTAGTCATATTGATTGTAATCATAATAATCATAAAATGATATAATACTAGGATTCAATAATGAAAATGATGATCATGATATTATGAATATAATGATTTATTATTAAAAATATAAATAATTATAAGCATGATATTGATGATTATGAGAGTAACTAACATTGATTTTGGTAATAGTAACATTGATCCTAATCATAAAAAAATAAGAGAACGTCACGATTCCATTTAATTATTATAGAAACAAGTCTGTATCTTCATTAATATTATGTTAATCACTTGCCTAATATAAAAATTCATATCATAATGTTATAACATTGTATGTACGCCTTATAATCAAGCTGGGCCAATAACAGAAGCATTGTTATGAATGGATTTAATTGTTGCTATGGTTACTTCACAGCAGATACATATAAATAGTCCACTAATGATGCGCTGGTCTCAGTAAATATCTCTTTAAAATATATAACCGAGGCCCATGTGGTAAAAGTAATTGTTGACGATGGTAATTGACATTTTGTGAATGTACAACTCTCCAAAGATTCTAGTGGAACAAATATCCACATTTCTTAAGATGCACGGTATTTATCTTGATACTAAAAGATTTGCTAACAAAAATTGTATATAAAAATCTGTTAAACTATAATCACCCTGGCTACTTAATAAGGTAGTGCTACCCACATTTTTAAATTAGGTTCCCTAAATAGACTATATAACATGAATTATCTAGATTTATTAATTAATGAAATACATCATTTTAAGTATATATAT